TCTTTATTCATTACACCAAGTAACTTGCTTTGTTTGTTTATAATTGATGAAAAACAGATATTTTATGTAATATTTATAATATATAAAAATTTTCAACTAATAAAAAAAATAAAAAATAAAAAAAAAATAAAATAAAAAAAAACTTTAATTAAAGGGATGTCTTTCAAACAATCAAACACGGGTAACCGTTTTAGTCATTGCTAGAATTATTGATTAAATATAAAAAAAAATAATTATTTGAAAAAACAAACTTTACGGTTAGTTATAAATTCCATCCTATTTAATATATATATTAATACTTTAAGAGTGGTAATATAGATTCCTAAAAAACTAAAGATTTTTCAACTAAAGAACGCATACCTTTCTTTGTAGTGTGTTCCGTACTGAATTGAAATCATATAACTTACGATAAACTCGACTACTCGATATACTCTACTACATTCACAACACAAATCAAACTTCGATACATAAACATAACTAGACTCGATGCTCCAGAACTACGACACCAACTCGTTTAACTTCACCAAGCTCTACAAGCAGTACTCCCAATCAACAACGATTTCTTTGGACCTACTACTATACTTTAACAGTCAATATAATTCGATACCTTAATACCGCAAGAATCAATACTCCCGAAGTCCAGAACTACGATACTTCATCACCTACATTCTCATTTCTCTATTACCAATCAGATTCCACTAGACCTTTAACTACACAACAGCCAAATAAAAAAATTCGACACTTTAACACTTGGATACTTTATAAATACGAAACCATATCAGCAACAGCCTTCGCCGTTACTCCCAAGTCTAAACGATTCCTTAAAAACTTACCAAACAAGTGACAATTCTTTGAACACTCCGTCATTACAAAACTCTATACACCAGGACAGATTTATAATTCAAAGTCAGAGAAAACGAGACTTACAAGACCTATTAAAATGTTCGAAATTTAAATTACGAACTTATTTAATCGTTTACTACAACAATTATGTGACACCAAATTAAAAAGGCAAAGTGACTGGTAAAAAGCGACCCGACCTTTCCAAATTAGATAGGTGGGGTTGCATTTTCACCATCGCGAATAAATATAGGCCTATATAGACCTAATTTTGGGGTGGGGGTGCAGAATTGATAGTTTGTCCTGGGTGCCGAAATAGATCGCTACTCCTTTATAAAAGTTATTAATTATTAAGTACTTTTTGATAATAGCGATTAAACCTTTTGTGCCCCCCTAGGGATAGCGCCATAGGCGACCGCCTAGTTCGCCTTACAGGCAGCGCCGGCCGTGCATACCCACCCAACACGCCACATCCAACTAACTTTATCCGACTTTATATAACGCCACACACCGCATATCGTACATCTCACCAACTCAAACAGCATCATCTTTTCCTAATTGTGCCTAAGACACAGGGGCCCGCTATAAAAAGCTCCCGGCAATTTTCTTGGCAGTCCCCCATGACAGTCCTGCCTCTGCCAGCTGCTTCCCTTCTGTGTGCCTCCATGTCTCCCTTGGCCTTCCTTGTTGTTTTTTTTGTGTAAATTTCCTTGAGGCGTACAGTTTAGCGCCATTCCGCACAAAACTCAATACACCCCGTATAAACTATTCAACATAACCACCCCATATCCCACTAACCATATCCTAAATAAATAAACCGCTCTAAATATAAATCCTATCAACACCAAACACCCTATCACGCGATTTCACTTTATCCCAGCTAGTATTTCCAAGCAGACCAACTAAACGCTTATCTGCAATAAACTCCGCCTTTTTCGTATTTAGTCTGGAGTATCCTCAACGACTTCCCAACGTTTCTTGGTGATTGGGTGAAAACCAAAAACATATACTGTTATTAGTGCCATGTTGATTAAAGATTAATTAATTAGATCAACAAACGAAATGTAGTTAATGTAAAAATTAGTTGAAATTTTAAAAAAATGTTGGACTTTCCTTGTTGAAAAAAAAAACAGAGTCCATGGTTGTTATTCTTTTTAAAATGGCTCAGTTGTTATCATTGATGTTTAGTAGGATGGAATTTCGGGGTAGGGCAGACGGGAGGGAGGTGCAGGTCTGTAGGGGTGGGTAGGGAATTTCCCAGTTATTTGAGGTTTGTAGCGATGCATTCAAACTTACGAGTCAAAATTGAAGTTGATTAATAGGCTAATTCTCTCAATGTCTTGCACGACAAAGCTGCAACGCCTGTACTGTTATTATTACGTACAGGCCCTGTTCGACCCTTCCACCCCACCCCAACCCCCACACACATTAAATTCCATTGTTTGTAGAGTAAGAAAGGACTGTGGGTCTGTTTGGAACTTTTAACCATTTTCTTTTTTAAATTATTTATATAAAACAAAAATTAAAATTTCAATGTAAAGTTTTAATTTTTTTTAAATGGAAAAAGGGCCCCTATGTCTTGCTTACGCTAGCTTTACGGTAGATACGTCCCTGGTGTGTTTGTTGGGGGGGGGGGGGGGAGGTTGCAGTTGACCGTAAAAGCCATCACAGCGGAAATTAACGCTTTAGTATACAGACTGTTACTTCCCATTTATACTGTTTGTATATTAAAAGGGAAACAACCTTAAACTATGCTCTCAATAGTCGTTCAAAATGTAAAAAATAAAAAAGAATAATACAAATTTAAAACAAGACAAATCAATGCTTATTATTATAAAAATATGAATATTAAATTATTTATGGGTCTTTTTTTAAATATTTATATTATCAAAATTTAAAGATAGCATTTGTCTATATTCCAAATAGAAAACTAAGAGCAATACTAACCACTTATAAAGTATAGTAATGGTATTTACCATTAAATAAAGTACTATAACACCACTATAAATCCTGTAGGCCACACACGCTAAATCTTCTAAATATATAATTCTCTTCATGGAAACCATAGAAAACACCACACAGCCTAGCCACCACCCTCATCCCCACCTGTAGTGTTGAATTCACAAATTATGAATTGCTGATAAGCTGAAAATAAAACAACTAGATGGCGGCGTATACTACGTCGCGGGTCATCTCGTGACGTATATTTTTAAATATTGTTTCTTCTGATTAAGCGGTTTTTATCACTGCTTATCATTTCTCTAAAACATAATACGTCTCTTTTCATTTGTTTTAAATATTAGATGGTTTTTGTAGCAGTAAAATTTGTGTAGATAACTGTAGGGTGATGGTGTGTGTGTGATTTCTGAAAATTTAAGATTTATTTGTACAAGTGGTGTTTTTTTTTTTTCTTTTTTTTCAAAAAGGGAAAATATAAATGTAATACAGTTTTTACCATTGTCAGGTATCATTTCCCTTGGTAGAGACATCGAAAGAAATCGTATGAACCAGAGTTACGAACATTGCAGGTAAGATAATTTTACGTGGGACATTTGATTGTAAGAGCTACTTCTCATATATAAACATATAGATTGAAGGGAGGCAATCTTTAACTCTGCTCCCCAAAGTTGTAAAAATTTGTAAATAATATATATATATATATATATATATATATATATATATATATATATATATATATATATATATATATATATATATATATATATATATATATATATATATATATATATAATGTAAATTATTACAGAAACTACGAATGTTAAAACATACTGTTATTTTTGTGCAGATTTTATATTATTGCATTTTGGAAGTAATTGTTTGACTCTATTTTGAATATTAAGTTACTCGTTTGTAATTTTAATTTCTTTTTTTTTTTTAAATTTATTTTTCCTTACAAAAGCCTGCTTCGATAAAGTTTTTAATTAATTTTAACCTCTAATATATAGTGCAACATGAATAGAAATCTGCGAACACATAGGTTTTAACCTTTAAAAGATCCGACGACAATTGCAGTGCGATATAATGTTGATATTATCTCATCTTAATATCCCACCATATCACAATGATCAACTTCGCATATTTTAGAAAGATATCTTACAAACCATTTTCCACCGCTCGTAACCACCAAAAATTATCACACAAGTGCGTCCACCCCCCCCCCCCCTTTAAAAAAAAGTCTGGAAAAAACACTGACATCAACTAACACTAAAATAAAAAGTAAACTTTGAATGAGAAAAAGACGTTTCAGTTTTATTGTTTGAACTATACTTTCATGTCTGTTCGCCCAACAACATTAATGCACATTTTTCACCAATATCCTTCCAACACCAGTAAATAGTAATGGCAGAGGTCCACTTACCAGTGGCGTAGCCAGGAATTGGTCATGGGAGGGGTTCAAATATTTTTCCATATGTATAAAATCATAATAATGGAACGATACATGTTTTGTTTCTACTAGGTATCGATTCTATGCGGAGTGACCTAACAATCAGGCACAAATAATGGAACGATACATGTTTGTTTCTACTAGGTATCGATTCTATGCGGAGTGACCTAACACTCAGGCACAAATAATGGAACGATACATGTTTGTTTCTACTAGGTATCGATTCTATGCGGAGTGACCTAACACTCAGGCACAAATAATGGAACGATACATGTTTGTTTCTACTAGGTATCGATTCTATGTGGAGTGACCTAACACTCAGGCACAAATAATGGAACGATACATGCTTTGTTTCTACTAGGTATCGATTCTATGCGGAGTGACCTAAGACTCAGGCACAAAAATGAAGCGAAAGAGTTGTTGTATTTTTTTTTTGCTAGTCATTGAAAATGTGTGGTATGATCAGATCATCGGTACAAATAGGTGAACGATACATGGGTTTGTTTACCTAGGTATCGATATTGTGTTTAGTGACCTATGCCTCAGGCACGACCAACAGACCGATACATGTTTTTTTCTGCTAGGTATCGATACTTTGTGGAGTCACCCATGGAACGATAAATCCTTTGTTTCTACTAGGTATCGATACTGGTACACAAAATGGAACGATACGCGCTTTATTTCTTCTAGGTATCGATACTATGTGGAGTGACCCATACCTCAGACACAAATAATGGAACGATACATGCTTTGTTTCTATTAGGTATCGATACTATGTGGAGTGACCCATGCCTCAGGTACGACCAATGGAACGATACACGACTGACTCTCTATTTCCACAACTTTAATCCTGTCACATATTCCGGGTACAGTTTTTAACAAACTCGAATCGACCTCTTCCGGTTTCGTTGAACAAAATAAGATTAGCTCTCGTTTGTAAAACACGGCGCCAGTTAAATCCCATTCACAATTTTTCCAGAGTTGCGTCACCAGTTTAAACTTGACTCTTGAGTTCGTTCCCATTTTGACTGATCTTAAAGCGCCATCTCGTTGAATTATAAACACTTCTTTACCTTTCTGAAAGTTAACAACATTAAGTCCGGGACCGTCAATGTACAATTTTTTAGTCGTTTTGGTGTAAAAATTACAGCAGTAAACTTTACAACAAACCGGCTCGCACCCGTAGCAGTTGTAAAATATCAAAACAGTGTCTTGAAAAACGCACACAGAATCGTAGCCCGTATCCCAGGCAAACTCCACAAAATTTGAAATATTTTTCTCCAGTTTTTCGCGTTTGAATGTGTAGCTGCTTATATTAGCGAATACATTATTTAACGAGATGAGATGGGTTCTACTTTCCCCGCATCCTTTACCGAGTGTTGTTAGTTTTTTATTATCATCGAGAATTGCGATATTTTTATTACAGCAGGAGTGGCGGTGAGAAGGTTCGCGTTTTACATCAAACTCGCAAGTTGTCTCCCTGCTTAAATAAAAAAAGCATAAATTCGACCCGGAAGACGCTAAGCAGGAAGGAAAACTGGTATCTAATTCTAAATTGGTGTCTAGTTTAATCTGACACGTAGACTCAGTGTTGAGGTCGAAGATATTCAGCTGACCGAGGTTGATAAACACGACGGCGTTTCTTTTCCCGCTGTGTTTTCTGTAAGGGATGACAAGGGTGCTGGAATAGGCAACGGAGCGCCATTGGTACAGCAAGGCTTCGTAAATGATGGAGTGAGCTTCCGCACACGACCGTATGCACGGGTGAGCTAAAAGCTCCTCAAGGAAACGGCGACTGGCTAAAAACGAACGCGCTGCTGATAAGAGTTCAACAAGTTGTTTGTTTCTAGTTTCGCTTTCTGTATCAGATTCACCGCTTGAAGATTTACTGTCAGTTAAGTGTGTATGTACTTGGATCATTTCCATTTTATCAACAGTATTGGCTAGGTTTTGTGGTTGTAAGGAAGAATCAACATTATTCCCGGGTTCAACATTGCTGTCTAATTCTGATTCTAACGACCATTCAACATCTTCTACTTTACCAACAAGCGCTAATTCTGAAGTTGTTGTTTCGGTTTCAGTCTCTTTATAATCCCAAATTTTAATTTGCCGCAGTTCACTATTACCATTAGTAACCCAGTCCAATATTGCCTCTAAGACAATATTCTCAGACTTGACCTTCAAATCATCATCCTCAACCAACGAAAGTAAAACCGGAAACGGAAGTTCTAAAAAAGTCTCCGTCTCAGAAAAATGATCAAAATTTTCTTTCATGAATTTCACCGAAAATTTCACCACAGTTTCGGAATTCAAATGCTTGGCTATATTATAAAATTGTATATAATTTTCTAGAGACATGTTCTCCTTCACAAAATTCTCACACTCGTGTATCAAAAATGGTATATCCAGCATGTGAGTCGCCTGCCACACGGCAAGCACATTATCCAACCTCACGCCATCAACACCTGTATACATCGCATTGATGATAACTTCAAACGTTTCTTTACTCATGTTATTTAACTCAACACACCCTTCCTGCTTTTCTTTGAAATCCCCCCTAAGCAAGCCTTTAAAAAACGTGGAACAGGCACTCAGAATAAATTTGTGGCAGAAAAATTCCGCGCCATCGACCATAACTCTAAAGTCACTGAAGTTGTCCCCCTTCCACTCTCTGCCTAGACATTCCAGCACTCCGCTAGCCAGAGTTGGTTTCACAATGGTGTTCGCTTCATACATCCTAAAATTAGAAAAAAAATTAACTAAACTGATTATAATTAAAAACTTTTTTAAAGAAAAAAGACTTTTATAATATCCACAAATAACGAAATAAATTAAAATGTAAAAAAAAATTGTACTAAAAATGAAAAAAAAAAAAAAAATTGCTTTACTAAAAAATAAAGGTCTTGGTGCTCAAAGATGAAGGGATGGTTTGTTCAGCACTATGCCAAGCCGTCTTTACTGTACCCAATATGAGCCAGGCACCCATCAGAGCTGGGTGGACTCAAGAAGGTTCTACTGGCTTAAACCCGGATTCGAACTTAAAGGACTATGTGCACGGTAAATGAGCAATCTCCTTCGCTCTTTTCTTCTGCCAACTGAGACCTACAGTTGCTCGCAGCTACCAATGTGTTACCTTACAGCTACAGCTACACTACATGACATACAGTCGCTAGCAGCTACCAATAAGTGACCTTACAGCTACGCGACATGACCTACAGGGTGGTATGGCTGGTGGGTGGTAATTGTTAGGTCAATAATCATTTAAAATTAGTTCATATTAATGTATACCACCATATTACAAACAAAATAAAACTCATATGGAAGATATAACAAAACCATCCGCCTACACATAAAAGATAATTTGGAGGTTAAGCGAATTTCTCATTAAGAAACTCTTTAACCGTACTTCAAACATGGGTGTACCTTTAATTAAGTGTTCACAATACCTGTCGCATATTTTCCAATAGTACTTTATTATATTAAAACATAGTTTAAAACTCTATGCAGAATAAATACGTATATACATATACACACACACATAAGCACACACACACACACACACACACACACACACACACATATATATATATATATATATATATATATATATATATATATATATATATATATATATATATATATATATATATATGTATGTATAAATGTATAAATGTATGTATGTAAAATATGTATATCTATATATATAAAGCAAAGTGGTCAAGTGCCCGATAGGGCACTTCCCGGCGCCGCAGGCGCGTCAAATTTGGCACGATGGTGCCTTCGGGCGATAGAACACGAAGGCCGGTGACGGTTGGCCGAAAAGTCTACGGAGAAGGGGTCAAAACTGACCTCGACTGACCGGCGCCTTATATGGGCTATATTACGAAAAAAAATTTCCTCCGACGACCCCCCTTGAAATTTTGTGAGGTGGTAGGAGAACACCTTGGGGTGTCACAAAAAACTCGCCATGTCCGGGAAAAATCGGGAAATGGGTCAAAACTGACCAGTCGTATTTCCCTATATAATCTTTGTATTTTATGGGAAAAACAGAGGGTCATTTCAAAACGGATTTTAGGGCACTTACCCTGTTTACATCTGGCTAATTTTTGGCATGTTTATAGGTAAATGGATTGACCGTAGGGCAGACCTGTCGGTCTTACTCAAAGCCCTCGACGAGGGCTAAAAAGTGACCGCGAGTGAAATTCTCTTTATATGAGCTCTATTACGAAAAAAATTTTCCTCCGACGACCCCCCTTGATATTTTGTGAGGTGGTAGGAGAACGCCTTGGGGTGTCACAAAAAACTCGCCATGTCCGGGAAAAATCGGGAAATGGGTCAAAACTGACCAGTCGTATTTCCCTATATAATCTTTGTATTTTATGGGAAAAACAGAGGGTCATTTCAAAACAGATTTTAGGGCACTTACCCTCTTTACATCTGGCTAATTTTTGGCATGTTTATAGGTAAATGGCTTGGCCGTAGGGCAGACCTGTCAGTTGTACTCAAATCCTTCGACGAGGGCTAAAAATTGACCGCGAGTGAAATTCTCTTTATATGAGCTCTATTACGAAAAACAATTTCCTCCGACGACCTCCCTTGATATTTTGTGAGGTGGTAGAAGAACATCTAGGGGTGTCACAAAAAACTCGCCATATCTGGGAAAACTTCGTAAAGCGGTCAAAACTGACCAGTTGTATTTCCCTATATAATCTTTGTATTTTATGGGAAAAACAGAGGGTCATTTCAACGCAGACTTTAGGGTACTTAAGCTCAGTATATCTGGCTAATTTTTTGCATGCTCCTAGGTCAATGGCTTGACCTTTAGGGAAAACTGTCGGTTACACTCAAAGCCCTCGACGAGGGCTAAAAAGTGACCGCGAGTGAAATTCTCTTTATATGAGCTCTATTACGAAAAAATTTTTCCTCCGACGACCCCCCTTGATATTTTGTGAGGTGGTAGAAGAACACCTAGGGGTGTCACAAAAAACTCGGCATATCTGGGAAAACTTCGTAAAGCGGTCAAAACTGACCAGTTGTATTTCCCTATATAATCTTTGTATTTTATGGGAAAAACAGAGGGTCATTTCAACGCAGACTTTAGGGTACTTAAGCTCAGTATATCTGGCTAATTTTTTGCATGCTCCTAGGACAATGGCTTGACCTTTAGGGAAAACTGTCGGTTACACTCAAAGCCCTCGACGAGGGCTAAAAAGTGACCGCGAGTGAAATTCTCTTTATATGAGCTCTATTACGAAAAAAAATGTCCTCCGACGACCCCCCTTGATATTTTGTGAGGTGGTAGAAGAACACCTAGGGGTGTCACAAAAAACTCGGCATATCTGGGAAAACTTCGTAAAGCGGTCAAAACTGACCAGTTGAATTTCCCTATATAATCTGTATTTTATGGGAAAAACAGAGGGTCATTTCAACGCAGACTTTAGGGTACTTAAGCTCAGTATATCTGGCTAATTTTTTGCATGCTCCTAGGACAATGGCTTGACCTTTAGGGAAAACTGTCGGTTACACTCAAAGCCCTCGACGAGGGCTAAAAAGTGACCGCGAGTGAAATTCTCTTTATATGAGCTCTATTACGAAAAAAAATTTCCTCCGACGACCCCCCTTGATATTTTGTGAGGTGGTAGAAGAACACCTAGGGGTGTCACAAAAAACTCGGCATATCTGGGAAAACTTCGTAAAGCGGTCAAAACTGACCAGTTGTATTTCCCTATATAATCTTTGTATTTTATGGGAAAAACAGAGGGTCATTTCAACGCAGACTTTAGGGTACTTAAGCTCAGTATATCTGGCTAATTTTTTGCATGCTCCTAGGACAATGGCTTGACCTTTAGGGAAAACTGTCGGTTACACTCAAAGCCCTCGACGAGGGCTAAAAAGTGACCGCGAGTGAAATTCTCTTTATATGAGCTCTATTACGAAAAAAAATTTCCTCCGACGACCCCCCTTGAAATTTTGTGAGGTGGTAGAAGAACACCTAGGGGTGTCACAAAAAACTCGGCATATTTGGGAAAACTTCGTAAAGCGGTCAAAACTGACCAGTTGTATTTCCCTATATAATCTTTGTATTTTATGGCAAAAACCGGGAAAATTTAACACAATTTTTAGGTTACTTAACGTCTGTACATCATGCTAAGTTTTTGCATACACTACTATAGATGACTATGCCGTATGGAAAAACTGTTGGTCAGACTCAAAGCCCTCGACGAGGGCTAAAAGATGATCGTGAGTGAAGTTCACCTTATATGAGATATATATATAAATAAATTGACGAACGATCCCCTTAATATTATATGACGTCGTAGACCGACCCTGGAGGGTAACAAAAAAATGTATTCCCGTCGGAAACAGCCATTATAGTCGTTAAATATGTTCATATACCGTAATTTCTTATATAAGCATAGCAAAGACATACGTCATACGTTCAGTTTTCAAGGGAGGTAACGTTTTTTAAATTATTATTTTTCAAATAATTGTATACTATTTTAAACAGAAACAGAAAATGACGAAGTATAGCATTTGTTGTAGTACAAAATTAAGTTGTTAATTCAGTTACGTATCCTAATTAGATAATCAAATAAATTTCAAAAGGCAATGTAATATAAACCATTAGATATACTGTTCATGAAACCTGTGTAGTTCTAATTCCATTTTAGTTATACATTGCGTACTTTCCACTATTTCTCTAAGAACTGCATTTAAATGACAAACAAAACATTTTTTTCTAAAGTTAGCTTTACTGTTTAAATTAAAGCACCCTCCACCCAATCCATCGCTAAATAATTAAGTATTCAAATTCTCAAATGTTTTTTAAAAACCTAAGCGAAGCTAGGCAGTATGCCTAGTATATGTATATATTAGCCTATATATATATATATATATATATATATATATATATATATATATATATATACATTATATTACTATATACTTAAAGAAACTCATTTATTTTCTACTTTTTAGTACATTAGTACCTAAAAGATTATTATTAAAACGTTTTTTATAAAAAAAAAATTCTGCACTTTAAATTCTCTAATGGAATTGAGTTGCATGACAAAAATCATTGCGCACCTAATGAACGTGATGACGTAGTGTAATAGTGCGGAATAGTTTGATGAGACAGCCTACTAATTTGGACACAATTTTAATCAATTCATACAATTTTAATCAGGCAACCAATTAAGTCAAATTTACGGTCATGTTGCATTGTCTTCATGTCTTGACTGATGTACCAACTACGAACCGTATCTGTCAGTTAGAAGTGCATGCAATTTCGCTCAATCTAGACAGACTGACGACTGACGACAGAGGAAGTGAGTTAAATAAAAGCTTGTAATAAAAATCTTACGAACTATCTTGAAAACGTGAAGCTACAAACCTTTAGTGCTTTATGTCGAGATTTCAATAGCCTTTCAATAGCCTTTAAATTTTAACGAACCCATAACCCGAACCTTTATTTTAGTATTTATTACGGTGGTGTTTACGAATACTTCTCTGTATTTTTGCTTATTTATTCCGCTGCACCGGTAGAGTTTAGCAAAGGTATTCACGTAAACATTGGGCGTTGCTTGGGAAGACAGATCATAGCGGGAATTTCCAATTTCATATTTATTTCGCCTTTTAAATTATAAAAATAAACTGTATAACAATGTTTTATCTTTATATATATATATATATATATATATATATATATATATATATATATATATATATATATATAT